CAGGAAATAAATTTTGCCCTTATTTACTCTTTGGTAGCTCTAGATCAGCTCTGAGAGGTTTTATCCTTGTGCATCACTCAATTCAGGAGGAACCTGGTTGGTGTGGAGTTAATTTGTGCTCAACTCAGAGGCCTCTCTCCATTAGGGCAGGGTGTGGTACTTGCAGCAATGGGGTGATGAGGGGGCAGAGAATCCTGGGTCCTCTGAGCACCTGAATGCTGGAGGAGCTGCTGGGGTCACAGTGGGTTCCCTGGCATGGAGCAGGTGGATGTCACCCTGAACTGCTGCTGAATTTGTCCCCTTCTGCTCTGAGGTAGGTGGGGCGTCTCGTGGGGGTCTTGGCTGGATGGGACATTGGCTCTTGGCTGTGGTTGGTTGAGCTGCAGCTTCGTTTGGCTGCTCCAGCGTTGGCTCTGGTCAGGTTTGCTTTCTTGCCTTGATCATGGTGGATGACATGAGGCCTTGCTGCCCTTGCAGGCTCCAAGCTTGGTCTGGGAATAACCACTATGGAGCTTCTCTGTGGAGCTTCCTGTGAGTCAGCCCCAGACCCAGTCAGGGTTTGCCTTCCTCCCTGCTCTCACACCTCGAGTCCTGCCTCTCCCAGGAGATGCTCTTGTACCTTTTCTCAGCTCTCTTCTGTCTCCGTGTCCTTCGCCAGTGATGGGAGCCCACATCCTCCTCTCCTCTGCAGCTGGGACATCTTGAGTTTACACTTGGAGGCTTTGGGATAGGAAGAAGCAAGGAGGTCATCATGATACAAGGGTCGCAGGTGAATACCTGCTTTCAGTGTCTCAGTCAAACACGAGAGCACTGGTGGCCCAGCACTGAGAACTAAGCAGGACAGAAAGCAAATGAACTTCCCTTTTAAAAATTATTTATTTTCTCCATAAGCCTGAGGAGAAGAGAAGCACTGATTGTTCTGGGCTTTCCATTCTGGCAGGGTTGTGTTTGGTGTTCAGATGAGATGGTAAAATATCTCAGCTAGGAACGATTGTGCTGATTTCACTGACTTTGTGTGTGTTGGCGTGTTCAGAGGAGCAGCTTTCCTTCTTTGTTCCCAGGGTGGTGGTCCTGGTTAAAGCTGTGCTAGGAAGGGAGAAAGATGGCTCTCAAGCTGGGTGAAAGCCCAGAAGGGGCTGGAGAGCCAGGATTGTGTTTGGTCCTGGCAAACCCACTGCACTAACTGGTTTGTGTCTTGGATGAGGAGTCTGGAGCTGACAGAAACCAACCACCAGCAGCATGTCTGTTGGAGCCTCTGTACCCTGTGAGAAACCAGTGGAGCAGAACTGGTGTAATACTCCAACCAGTTCCCTAATGGGACTGGTGCTCCTTCTCAACTGTGCCATTTTTACTGCTTCATCTAACTTCAACCCAGCACAGCCTGTCCCACCCCTGAGGACTTGTCAGTATCGTGCCTGCCTGGCACTGGCCTCTGGAAATGGGTTTCCAGCCTGGTGAGAGGCTGCTGTAGGTGCAGGACCAGTGCTAGAGGGTTCTGCTGTTGGACAGCAGGGTCCCATCTCGCTCCCCACACACAAGCTGGAAGTGAGGCTGGTCCTTCAGCAGCTTCTGAGGCTGCTGAGATGCTCCTGCACAAGCTGCTGCTGGCGTGGCAAGCACGGTGCTCTCTGACCAGAGCCTCCAGCCTGTGGTGTCTGCCCTAAACTGATTTATTTTGAAGCTGAGGAGCTCCCTGGAGGAGGCAGCTCCAGCCCTCGCTTGCCCTCTGCTCTCTGTCCTTCCCACCCAGACCCAGCAGACCCGTTCCCCTGTCCCTGAGCAGGGGTTTCCTTAGGGCTGTGCCCCAATCTCTCCTGCCATCCGTGTAAGACAAACCAGACCTGTCACTGTCACAGCCCTGGCTCAGGCCCCTGTTCCAGGGGAGTTTCCAGATCCTTCCAGATGTGAAATGGCAAATTTAAATATTGTAATTACAAACGTGTAACGAAGCCTTGTACTTCATTAATGTAAGAGAAGGAATCTG